TGCCGCCCCCGGCCCCGCAGCCCCCGCAGGCGCGAGGCGCCCCGGCCGCCGACGACGACAAGGGCCCGCAGCAGCTCCTGCTCCCGCCGCCCGCCGCCCTGGACGGCGCCAAGGCCGACGCGCTCGGGGCCAAGGGCGAGCCGGGGGGCGGGCCGGCCGAGCTGGCGCCCGTCGGGCCGGACGAGAAGGAGAAGGGCGCGGGCGCCGGGGGGGAGGAGAAGAAGGGGGCGGGCGAGGGCGGCAAGGACGGGGAGGGGGGCAAGGAGGGCGACAAGAAGAACGGCAAGTACGAGAAGCCACCCTTCAGCTACAACGCGCTCATCATGATGGCCATCCGCCAGAGCCCCGAGAAGCGCCTGACGCTCAACGGCATCTACGAGTTCATCATGAAGAACTTCCCCTACTACCGCGAGAACAAGCAGGGCTGGCAGAACTCCATCCGCCACAACCTGTCCCTCAACAAGTGCTTCGTCAAGGTGCCGCGCCACTACGACGACCCGGGCAAGGGCAACTACTGGATGCTCGACCCGTCGAGCGACGACGTGTTCATCGGCGGCACCACGGGCAAGCTGCGGCGCCGCTCCACCACGTCGCGGGCCAAGCTGGCCTTCAAGCGCGGCGCTCGCCTCACCTCCACCGGCCTCACCTTCATGGACCGCGCCGGCTCCCTCTACTGGCCCATGTCGCCCTTCCTGTCCCTGCACCACCCCCGCGCCAGCAGCACTTTGAGCTACAACGGCACCACGTCGGCCTACCCCAGCCACCCCATGCCCTACAGCTCCGTGTTGACTCAGAACTCGCTGGGCAACAACCACTCCTTCTCCACCGCCAACGGGCTGAGCGTGGACCGGCTGGTCAACGGCGAGATCCCCTACGCCACGCACCACCTCACGGCCGCCGCGCTCGCCGCCTCGGTGCCCTGCGGCCTGTCGGTGCCCTGCTCCGGGACCTACTCCCTCAACCCCTGCTCCGTCAACCTGCTGGCGGGCCAGACCAGTTACTTTTTCCCCCACGTCCCGCACCCGTCCATGACCTCGCAGACCAGCACGTCCATGAGCGCCCGGGCCGCGTCCTCCTCCACGTCGCCGCAGGCCCCGTCGACCCTGCCCTGTGAGTCCTTAAGACCCTCTTTGCCAAGTTTTACGACAGGACTGTCCGGGGGACTGTCTGATTACTTCACACATCAAAATCAGGGGTCTTCCTCCAACCCTTTAATACATTAACATCCCGGAGGCCAGACTGTAAGTGGACGTTTTACACACATTTGCATTGTAAATGATAATTAAAAAAAATAAGTCCAGGTATTTTTTATTAAGCCCTCCCCCCATTTCTGTACGTTTGTTCAGTCTTTAGGGTTGTTTACTATTCTAACAAGGTGTGGCGTGTCAGCGAGGTGCAATGTGGGAGAATACATTGTAGAATATAAGGTTTGGACGTCAAATTATAGTAGAATGTGTATCTAAATAGTGACTGCTTTGCCATTTCATTCAAACCTGAGGAGCCTATCTCAAAAGGCTGCCAGATGCCCATGTGTGCAGTATTATAAGTTATCATGGAGCTATCTGGTGGATGCAGGCCTTGAGAACAACCTAAATTATGAAGAGAGTTTTAAAATGTTAAACTGTAATTTGTATTTAAGAATTTGTAGTAAAGGTGCCCAAGAAATTATATCGGCCATTTATTGTTTTGTCCTTTTCTTTAAAGAACTGTCTTTTCCTTTTGTTTACTTTTAGACCAAAGATTGGATTTTTAGCAAATGCACTTGGTATACTAAGTATTAAAACAAGCAAACAGACAAACAAAAACTACAAAAAAAAAAAGGAAAGTTGTTTAGTTGGCAACACTGCCCATTCAATTGAATCGGAAGGGGACAAAATTAAGGATTGCCTTCAGTTTGTGTTGTGTATATTTCGATGTATGTGGTCACTAACAGGTCACTTTTATTTTTTCTAAATGTAGTGAAATGTTAATACCTATTGTACTTATAGGTAAACCTTGCAAATATGTAACCTGTGTTGCGCAAATACCGCATCAATTTGAGTGATTGTTAATGTTGTCTTCAAATTTCTTGATTGTGATACTGTGGTCATATGCCCGTGTTTGTCACTTACAAAAATGTTTACTATGAACACACAGAAATAAAAAATAGGCTAAATTCATATATATCTTGATATTTTTGTCTCTTTTATTATGTAGAGCTAATTTGCAAAATGCCATTCAATTAATAGGGAATTTGAAGGGCTTTTTCAGCCAAGCTGGAGTTTAAACTGCTCCTTTAATTTAAACAGAAACTCTAAAACTGAGAATAGTATTTTTCCCCCGTTGTGAACAAATTTTACCGAGAGTAGAGAGCAGACTACTTAATACATACTAGCTTTAAATGAAACATAAGATTTTCAACTGATATATTTGTTTTTGTAGATATAAAGCATAAAAACGTTCTATTTTATGTGCATATTTTAAAATCAGTTTATTCTGTGCTTATTTTAAAATCAGTTGATAGAATGCCCTATTTATTGTTTCACGTATTTGTTTCTAGAACTTGGCAAATTATAAATAAATATATGTATATAGTTAGAGGTGAATAATAAAGACTATATATATATATCAGTTCAGGTACTTTTTGCGCTATGAATGCTGCAAACATTTTTGTTTAACTGTTTGTATTTACACTTTCTAAGTCAGCATTTATTTTTGTGGTGTTTACCCACGATGAAAGCATTCTAATAAAGATGTGCTGAGCTGGACTAGAGCTTGCTGAGATGGTCACCTGTTGTAATGACACACAGACAGATGCTGACATTTAAGCTTTTAACCAAATCAATTTAAAATTCTAGTTATTCAGGGTAAAATACCCCTATCTCTCTTCTCCATTTTTACAACATAGAGCTATTTGTTTCTCTTTCTAATATATTTGTGTGGTTTAATTTACAGATGTGTTTCTTTTGCTGACGCTAAATTACCTTTGCTTTATTTGCAGTATGCATGCATATATTTGCGATATATTGAGTGTGTACATATGACACAAAATGAAACTTTTCACATTGATTTAGAGAGCCCACTTACTATAATTCCAGAAAATAGTTAGAAAACCTGAGTTAAAGGGTTAGTAATTAATTGGATCATGTGGTGATTCTGTGGAAGACAAGTTGTTCATTTGTTACATTTGTATAGTCTGAACTGTGTTCTGCACTAATGCAATAAGCTGGCCACTTCTTACAATGGGCCCAGTGAAAAATAATCTGTCACTAAGATGTTATCAGCAAACACTTAGAGAGTTGCTCAGGGGAGTGTGTGTGGGGGTGAATCTAGTAGAGAAACGGGTTGGCTAAAATTGATTTAAACTCAGAATAGCTGATGATGGGAAATGGGGGGTGGCTGGATTCTGAATTGGAGAAAAAGAAGAGAGAAAGGGAGAGAGGGAAAAGGAGAGAGGGAGAGGAAGAGAGAAACACAGAGAGAGAATGGGTTTAGGAAAAATTTAAAAGCTGTAATCAAATTTAAAAGACAGGGATAGACAAAAATAGGCTGTGTGACTAGTGTGATTATCTCTTTCAGGGAGACAAGCTTTCATTTTCTTAATGTGAGGATAGATTAGCCTTAGACATAAGTTTCTTAAAAATCTAACAGTTCTTTAACGTGAATCATAAATAAAGTACCACAAAGTACTGGCATTGGGGTGGGAGAGAAGGCAAGTGTGGGCTTAGGCAAAGAGAATCTTCACTGCACAGCTGAGCTGTAACTAGCTCAGAGAAAGGCCTACATTTAGGCTGAAAGAAAAAAGAGAAATGATCTATTGCTTGCTGCTGCTATGGGCTTTATTTATGGAATGAGAATGTTCTACCAAAGAGGAAATACAGTGCTGCCTATCAAAAGTTGAAAACAAAGCTGAATTCATATAGTAATGCTAATAGATGTGATATTGAAAAGAAAATTTCCTTTATGGGTATTTTCCTCTGGCCAGAGTGAATGAACTATTTATAATTATTTGTAGTTTTATAAAATGTTTATTGAGAAGGTACAGAAATGTAATTTTAATGGAATCCGCTGTGCAATTTCAAGTCCGTAGTGAAGCTGACTTGTTGAACTAGATATTGGAGTACAAGTGGGCTTTAGCACATGTCTAATTTACATATGTAGTGGATGTGATTGGATGTTTGTTTATTAGGCCCCCTAGACATGAAAAAGAATATATATAGAAAGAGAATTTGGTACAGGTTTTCTGAAGCCCAGTGGGTGAACGTTTATTTCATTCATCTTCATCTGGCTTGCCCTCCCTCAGAATATCCTCTTTAAAAAATGACAATCTGGTATGGCATTGATACATTTAATTTTGCTTCAGGCTCGTTACACTGTTTTACTGTGTATCGGCACCAACTATTGCTGGTTACAGTTAGTTCATTCCAGACAAACAGTTCTAACTTTTTGAAGATTATTTTTTTCAAACTTTTAATTGTTTAAAATGAAATAAAGGCTGCCCTTTTTGAAAAATTGGAAAAGAAAATATCACAATTTAAAATTTGAAGCTCCAAATTGCAATACTACAGACTTAATATTTTACTTGAATTGACATGATTGAGTTAGTGCAATTGTTAATACATAAACACAAAGACTTGATGTAAAATGCAACAGCGACGGAGTTTCTTCCAAATGTTTTCCTTTCTCTAGTTGCAAAAAAATGGAAACCAGATTAATCTAAAATTATTCAGTGCAAGTTTCCTTATAGTCAAGATAGTTTTCCAGTGACTTCTATAACTGGAATCACAGCAAGAGCAGAGAGAGAAATCTGTCATGAAGTGTATTGATTACAATATATTTTCAGGTTGGTACACATTTAACCACAATAGATGGCTAAATCAAAAATATTAGACGTCTATATAAAATATGATCTTTAAACATGTATTTTTCTTTCTCATTGAGGAATTTGCATGCATTGAAATATTTTTAGTTTTGACAAATTAATTTTTTGAGTAGTTAATGTGATTGGTTGTTTTTAACGCTTAAAGGCTGATGGAGAATTAGGTTAACAAAGGGTGAAGGTGAAGATCATTAGAGGTTTTAGTGCTGGCTGAGACGGGCTGCTGAGGTTGTGTAACTGCCTAGAGGGCGGGGTTCCTGTACATGCCTGGTTCAGCGGATAACCTGCCCCCAGCACCACCCAGCCTCTGCCAGACGGATGGAAGTCTCCAGACGAAAACCTGCGAAGCCCTTCCAAGAAGCAGGGTAGGTGAACACTGAATTTTCAATTTCCCCCTCCTTATGTGAAGGCCAGATCCTTTCCTGGAGTTACAAAAAAGAATAGGGGTCATCTAGATTCTCTTTCACAAAAATATATTTGCATTTTTCCTACCTGTAAGAGTTAAAAGGTATTAGCTATCGGCCACTTAGCTGGAAAATCTATTTTCGATTTTCTTCCTCTTCCAGTTTCCCTCTTTCTTCTCATCCCAATTGTCCCGCCTTACCATCTCTCCAGCAAATACCCCCATAACCGCAATAGTTAAAAATAAACTCTCCTTTAGTTTTCAGCTCAACTGACCCCTTTCCTCACTCTCGCGGTCAGTTCTTGAAGACCTTGTCCTGGAAACGTAGGTCCTGGGTGTCTGGGCTGCGAATATATGACGTAGTGTTATGTTTTGTCTCCCTCCCTCTCGATTTGGTGCCCCTTCTCCACCCCCCCCGCCCCCATCCAAGGTTCTGCGCGGCGTGGTTGGAAGGCTGCTGAGGCAGAGGACTTGGGCGCCGTGGACACTCTCACCCGGAGGATCGGTAAGTGAAAGTTCTCCCTTCTTCACGCGGTGGTGGGAGGTGAGCGCGTTCCACAGACTCCTGTAGGCTTAAGGCTTCTTTTCTCACTTGGAGAGTGTTCCCAGAGAGTGGATCCCCACAGCCTGAGGTGAAAGAATGTATGATTTGTCCACGTGGGCGGAAATCGTGGTGGATGCCTAGGTAAAGAGCATTTAGATACTTCAAAACAGGAAGGAAAGAAGATAAATTTATATGGAGAAGGAAATGGTAGACTGTAGTAAGTCCAGAAGTGTAAGATAAGTCATTTAATGGAAATTTCTGGATTTCATGGATGCTTCAGAGGTATTCTTGATTATAAAGAACGCCTCTCTCCCTGTGCGTGTCTCCCTGTGCGTGAGTGTCTGCGTGTGTAATGAAGTTCTTGCTCCTGCTTTCACGCTGGCATTCCCAGCCTGGCCTGGTGTGGCCCTCTCCCGCCAGCCCCTTGGCCTGGGTCAAGCCAGGGTCTCTGAAGGACGGATCTGGTGCAGGTCGAGTTCAGAGCCCGTTAAGGTCTCCCGGAAGAAAAAAAGTACAAAAACAAAACAGGGAAACGAGCACCGTTCTGGGCTTGACTTTGTCCCTGCTGGGAATAGCTCAGTTCCCGGCTTTGGAAATCTCAGGGAAATAATTGATTTTTAATACACACTTAGGAGCCGGCGCTGTATGCTCCAGGGTCTGGCTATCTAAGGGTGGCTGCGGGCATGCCAAGCTCTGGCTGGCTCTCGCAGGAGCTCCCGGGAGGCCGGGCTGCGGCGTCGGCACGACCTGCCCCGGGCCGCGGCGCTCCCGGGCTGGCCTCCGAGGAGGGCGGCCAGGCTCGACCTGCGTTTGGTCTCGGGTTAGGGAGTAGAGGCAGAGCTGGGAGCGGGACGGCAGAGCTGGCCCGGCCGCTCGGCGAGGCCTCCCTGCCCGGGCAGCCGCGCTGCAGGCGAGCAGCAACGCGAGGGCGCTCTAGCCCAGGACACCGCCACGGCCGGGGACTGGCTCCGCGAGCGCGCGCCCCGGCGCCCCGTCCTTCCTAGTCTGCCGTGACCGCTTCTCTTCGCGCTGGAAGTTGTTAGTCTTTGTTTGAGGGGCGCGGGCTCAGACCCTAGCACTCACCTGGGAGTTGGTAAAACTGATTTTCCAACAGCCCTCTGTCATTTCACTCTCTTTCGGCTTTATTGCCCAAGCCTCCCGTGTTTCGGAAAAAGCCTTCAGGTAGGAAATTCCCTGAACTCTGGGAGCAACCTGGAGTTGGGGGGAATCCACAAGCAGGGCTGGGGAGCAGACTACCGCGGACGCGCGGAGATTCGCTAGGAGTTAGCTTTCTTTTGGAAGAACTGGAGGGGAAAAAAAAGAAAAACGCAGAGGGGTGCT